TTTCTGTGACCATGTTGTTCGAGTGACCTTCGCAGCACTTAACCAATCATCACTGTAAATAGTCAAGTTATTGACATTTCGTAAGTGAATAATTAGTCGTACACTTTGTTGATCGGTTATCCGAAAATTTTCGGTGAACAAGGTAGGTGATATTGATTGGACTATGAAATTGATTCACTTCAGAGTTATAAATGGCTGCTTCACTGGATGATCGTCATTAATTCAGTAAGTTAACCTTCCACAAGTTGTCTTTTGTATTTCTCTTTAGCTAGAACTATAACTGTCATGTTGATTAGAAGTATTCAAACTGGTTTGCTAAGTAAGAATTCGCGAGATAGTACAACCTAAGGAAGGTAGAACTAGATGAGCACAACTGAACGCATTACATCTGTGATCAACTAGTCCGTTTAGAGATATAAGGCAGTAATCATCATTGAGAATATCAATCGATGTTAGGCAGTAGATCTTATGGGAATAAAATGCCGTCATCAGTTTTACTTGAGTTTAGGTTCATCGAAATGACGAATTGGTTAATTGAATACCGTAAATGATATTGAGTTTGTAGTTGCCTACTTTTATGGAGAGAACCGGATTGATATAATGAAAATAATAATTATTATAACCAATTAAGTTGAATGAAACTTATTCTAAAGACCATATTTTCACTACTGTTTTCTCTGTAAGATCACTAAATAATTTTATGGCGCCAGTAAATTATCGTTGTGGTAGCCCTGAATGTCATTTTCCGGTCGACAATTTAATGCTATGAGACAACCGCAATTACGAATGTTGCAAGGCACTACCACGTTTGCTGTGCAAAGTATGTTGTTCTACAAATTCCCTGCTTATTCTTGTAGCGTTTGAGCTGCCAAACATAACTAGAAAATCGCCTTCAGATAAGCAGGCAGCAGTAGATCGGCATAAGTTTGCTTTTGGGGAAATAGCGAGCGTTATCATGGGCCCAGCTCTGGATTTGAATGAGGTCTAAAGCCGGACCATATTAGGGAAGCGGATAATAAGCATGTCGATGTAGGGCATTGTTACAAGGTAGAACAAAACGTACTTTAAAAGAAACTAATTATAGACTGTACTGAGGTACGTGAGTCTCAATTTCAGTTCTGGATTTACGTATCAACGCAAAACACACTATGGAGGAGCGAAATCTCAGTGGTGTAAAGAATGTGATGAAGAGACAAAATGAGGTAAATGACTGGCTTACAGCTACACTTATAAAAAGAAAAGTAAGGAAGCAAAGTGGAACCTTGGCATCTGAGGTCGAGTCAGAATGCATTGAGTAAATGGTCTCAGGAAACCAAACCCCACAGAGTGTTAAAACGGACCTTGCTTAAAAGTCAGTCACTTTTCATAACTTAGGATAATCTGTATAATTATTAGTACTGCTCTAGTAATAGACCTAATCCTAAAATCGTAGATTTGTCATGATACAACTGCCTAATCCATAGGATCTTACGTGGAAGTTACATCATCGTCTACACCAACTCACTACATCGTAACAACTACCAATACATGACGGAGAACAAGGTTAGGCTAGAGAAAGAACAATATATTTAATATGAATAGAAGATATAAGGTAACATTCTAGAGGGACCACACCTGCATGGTGGAGCCATGTCATCGGATCAACTCCAATTCATTCAATACATTCTTCCCGCCTTCTCCATCCTTAGGTATTTCTCCGAGTTAAATATTGAATATCTATTTTCCGAGTTGTCTCGTGTTCAGCTTTGAAGATTGTGTGGTTGTGGTTCAATACCAGTACAAATTTTCTGAAAAGGGACCAATTGCTATATTTAACACAACCTCATTCACATTAGATCCTTTATAAGCAAGCTACTCACAGAGACAGTATCACGATAACATCTGTCGGTGCTCAAAACAGTGGGAGATACAGAAAACCCTGATGTCACTGCAATCTCAGAACCATGGTTAACGTCAGAAGTGCTTGATAATGCAATACAGTTATTTTGCTTTTATTCAGTAGGGCTATTAGAATGAACCGTAGGAGATATGAGGTTATCCTGTACACAAAGCTGTTGAGGCAGTGGCACATGATTCAAGGACGTGTGAATTGGTGCGTTGCAGGCCGAAATGAGAATGGCAAGCCAATGAATTATTTGTAGCATACCGCAGTTCAGAATGAATAGTGGATGATATTCTCCTATGCAAACTTACATCATGGTGTAATAAGCGTAAGAGCCTTATAGTGGTTGACTAACGCACTGTCTAGAAATTGGAGAAACTTAGAAGTACGGTCATCAGAAATGATCAGTTTTTGCAAATTTCTCGAAACCATTAGTCGTTCTAACTTTATTCCAGCAATTATGACACCCCACCTGATATGGCCAACAAAACTCCCCGTCTCTTTAGGGCCTAATCTTCACACACGGATATGTCACTCAAATAACTTTCCTCCTACCTTTAGAGTGAAGCGATCGTGCGGCAATTTTATTCAAGTTCATGGCTGAAATGGCATATCAAGCAGTTGCGCCTGCCCGTTCTAAAATATGGAAGGCAAACTGAAGGCAACTAACTAACTAACAAATTGATATATGCAAACAAAAATATAAAAATCAATTTAACATTTCTTGAGATGTCGTGTAAATCAACTGATTTTACTTGGTTTGTGCCAGGTATTTAAATAAGCCCCATATTTCCTATCGAAGTGATTCTTGTCAGCTATTCAGTCTTATTTTGGAAAGGACAAAAGGCTGGGTGGCCTTTGTTAATCCAAGTAGTGGCTGTCTCTCTATTGATCACACTTATTTGAAAGCGTTGACAGCTGGAGCTTCATTCTCTTGTTGGGGTAATGAATTCCATTCGTTGATGATTCTATAGGAAACTCGATAGTCAGTCTTCAGTTTTAGGTAATAATTTCTTCAGTAACATTATGTACTCATGGCTATCTGGAAACAATCAACTATGTGATTAAACTCACTATGACTTGGGATGTCATCCCAGTGTGTAATGAACGTACAGTGTAACGCAGTCAGACGTGGCAAATAAAAATTACAACCAGAGCAAAATTAACAAAATAATCTAGTTATTTAGTAAAAAATACATTATGAAATGACAAATTCTATGATTACTTGAACTCACAGATGACCGTTATTACACTGGGCGATACATAAAGCTTACATGGTTGAGTTGCGGATAATATCACCCAATAATTATAGTATGTTGGTGGACCTGTGTTGACCCTTGGATATTGTTTTCTAGTGGAGGTCCAGCTTCTCCTGGGAAGTGGTTGGTGATATGTCTTGCGCTATTTTCCTAGCAAGGCATTCCAGACATTGACTACTCAATGAGAGACGAAACCCCGCCTTTAGTTTAGGAGAGAACTGACAAGAAATTTGTTCTGAGCTTGTGAACCTTTATAGAATGCCCTCGTAAGCTCTCTGTCCTGAAAAGCAGGAAAAATGAGGGCATATCATGTGCAAACTTATCACTAAATAACTTCAAAGCTGTGACTAAGTGACCTCTGATCCTTCTATGTAACAAGGGAATAAGATTTATTTTATATAATATATCGTCATACGAGAGATTCGTCATCTCGGAGGTAAGCCTAATTTGTGGTTTTCTGAACTTCTTTCAGTGGTTATCTAATATATGCATCAAAAAATATGAAGATGTAAATCTTTAGCGATGTTTTCCTCAGCGATTTTCCTGATTCTATATGGCTCACTGGATGTAAAGTACTAACCGAATGTGTATATCGAGCTCTAAACAATCCTGGTTCAACCGAAAGCACTACAAGTCAGTAATTCGCTAAGGCTGCCTCTCTTAATTTCGCCATAAAAACTATTTGTGGTAATTTAAAACTTCCCAGCACTAACTGAAAGAAACTCCAACCCATCGTGCTTTGAAAACATACTTAGTTACTTAAACACACGGTTGGCAGCAACATGTACACATGGGTACACAAAACCACAACATCCTCAACTTGGTATTCTGTCACGTCACACCAACATATGTAGTGATTGGAGAGAATTTTCAGAACAGCGATCATAAAACAGTCCTCTATGCTGTACTGTTTCTTGTAAAGTGCAACAAACCCAAGACAATAACTATGCGTTTCCAATATAGAGATTATGCACACGCCGACTGGGAAAACTTTCGATTTCTAATTAGGCACTTTGACTGTAGCAGTTTCTCTACTGATGTTAAGCTCTCAGAAACAATAGAAATATTCAATATTGCTGGACGCTACTATCCCCTCCTAAATTGCTTATGAAACACTCACTATTATATCAACCAAAAAGCTGGGTCTAAGCTGAAGAAACTAAAAAGGATTTATTGTATATCTAAAGATCTCAGTGCGCAGGACAAAAAAGCAAACAAGAAGGGGAACATACAGCGCTCACTACCTCATGCGAATCCCTCAGCTTATGTTGTCTCCTTAAAAAGCGCATAAGAAAGAGTGTACACCGCAACACTCACTCCATACGGTACGATACTGTGACGTATTATAACCAAACAGTTATGTGTACTGCTAAAAGAATGGTTTTTTCACAATTGGAATAAGTCTCATGCCCTGCACATTAACGTCGAATGCATCGGCAAAATTATTCTTAGTACCGTCATTGTTGATCCAGTTGCCTACTTACTTACTCACTCCTGTAACCCCTTATGAAAGAGCATAGGCCGACCACCAGCATTCCTTCATCCAACACTGTCCTGGGCAATACTTTCTAGTTCTTTCCAGCTGATACTTATCCCTCTAATATCTGCTTCCAACTCCTGACGCAGTGTTCTTCGGCCTACCGCTTTTCGTTTCACTTCAGGATTCCAATTTAGTGCTCGCCTTGCGATACAGTTTGATAATTTCCTCGATATGTGGCCGACCCACGTCCATCCCTTTTTCCTAATTTACTCCTCATTTGGAGGTTGGTTTGTTCTCCCACACAGTAGACTGTTGCTTATGGTATTCGAACAACTGAAATCGAGAGTGTGTCAAAACGGATTCAGATATTCAAATCAGTATGGATGCTGTTAGATATCATTTGAGTCATTTTATGGATTCACGTAAAACACTGTGTGATCGATTGCGCACGATCGAAGCGAGAATGGAAAGTTGCCGACAAGATGGTAAACCTTATGATATGTATATTGAAGAAATGAACAGTCTAACTGAATCGATTCAATGTCAAACACAACGAATTAGCGACTTACAACAAAAACTTATGGATGCTGGTGAAATATCGTCGACAGATGCCTCCGGTCCACCTGATTCGACTGGTCAAATACTCTCATCTCGTTTATGTCAACTACACAGCATCCAAGAAGCACGAATAGCTTTGAAATATCTATTCAGACAAGTAGGTTGTACTTTTTATTCTTTTCTAACCAGACTGACCAATTGATGAATCTGTCCAAATTGTCAAGCTACATTTGAATATAAGTAGTCACTGGGTAGACATATAACAACATACGTCCGTGCTATATGGTTTATTAATTTAATGATGTAGGTTACAGCAGAATGTCGATTCTGTAAACAGGCATAGCAAAGTAATGCCAATAGGATATGAATTTCACTTATTTATTCTCTATAAAAATGTAGTGATCTGATTTGACTAGTCAACAGTTCTTTATTTTGCTTATTCTTGCTCTTTTTATTTATTTCATAGGCATCGTCATCTGAAGTTTCTAAGATTAATTTAGAAACTCAAATATGTGAATTGCAGTCCCAACTGAATGCAGAGAAACGAAAATCTGAGGAGAATGTAAGTTGGAATGATAAGTTTTCTACTGAAACACCAGTACTCGAATCCATTTGTGAAGTTCTTAAGTCGACGTAAAAATCCTATACCATATGTGCCTTGTTGAAGGGGAGCGTTATCCAGTATGCTACTACACAAATAAATTAGATTAGCATAATTTTAAAACTTGTGTTTGAAGAGATCACGACATCGCCTAGAAATCGGCGAACGGAACGAAGTATCAATGACACTACAATGCGTCCCAGCCGGTATATTTACAGGTCTTTCTGCTTTCCCACTCTTGATTTGTTCGGTCGTTGATGGAGTGACATCCACAGGAAGGTCTGTGTGTGCTGCTTCGATCTCCAATGGGCTCAATGGAGCTGGCCTATTGAAGAGTTCCTTGAAGTGTTCCAGCCATCTGTTCCTCTGTCCTTGAATTTTTAGTGGCCAGTAGATCCGTCTCCATTTAGATCGTACAATTGGCGGTTATCACCTATTCTCGTATATAATAGTCGACTTAAATCGCGTTAGTCAATAATGGAATTAAATAAGTCAATTAACGAGAATGGCATTTGAATACATATATTTGTATGTAAAGTGAATGCGCAAGAACAAAGCGAAATGACGCTCAGGGAAGATGGCTGGAAAGCCAACTCCATTGTAGCCAAGCGTTACTCAATATTTATAGTCAGACGAAATTAAGCTACAGACATGTGTTCAATGCGATAAGAAGAGCACACATATATACGCTCATATAAAAGCAGTCTAGATTGATAAGCGAATAAATAACAAGGTCAACATATGACTCAAGTAGAATGAATAAAATGGGATATCCGAAAGCTAGAATAAGGTATATGGGCTTGGCATAATAACTGACACTACAAATTTCAGTGATGAAGTTGCCTCTTGTTCTGAAACGGTCTCCCTGGTTTACTACATTTCCGTGCCAGTTTCTTCGCCTTGTCATATAGTTGTCCGATATTTCTTTATGTTGAAGCTGTAGTTGTCAGATCTTCTATGTGTTTCTGATTGTCAGCCCAAATGTTCATTTCCAATCGGTTGTTTGTTTCTGTGCATTCAGCTTGTGCCTTCACTGTCTCTGTCCTTGTTCAGCTGTTGTTGATTTCTGTCTTTTTGTTCTTCCGTTCTTGAATCTTGTCCAGGGTTTCGATAGTGATCCATTGATTATGATGATACTTCTTGCGATCCAGTACCGGCTGACACATTGAAGTTAATGCTTCTTTGATCCGTTTCCAGTTATCCTCCATCGTAGTCTGATCCTACTAAACCAGAGCTTTGTTGAATTGTATGATTTTGTCAGTATGTCGAGGGAAGGCTCTATTGAACCTTTGTAATTGTCCTTCTCCAGTTGTCAAGCATTTCGTTAACTTCAGTTTTCTCTTGGTTACAAGTAGGTGGTGATCTGATAACATCAACCTCTCTGCTTGATGTTATGTCTTCCATTGATATTGTGAATTTTTTAGTGATACAAATATGGTCAATCTGGTTCTGTGTGGTGTGATCCGGTGAGACCCATGTAGCTTTGTGTATGCGTTTATGCATGAATATAGTACCGCTTATGACCATTTTGTTGAATTCAAAAGTTTCGTTTCTCTCTCCCAGTCTATTTCGTCCCAGGATATTTCCATACCCAGTGTTATCTATTCCGACTTTGGTGGTTAGGTCTACTGTCGGGATGGTGAGATCCTTTCTAAGCCGCTTCGCTTTGATTGGCTGCAGCTTCTTGTATATCTGATCTCCATCTTCGATGCTATCATTTTTGGATTCAAGACATTGGATAACATACATCATGATTACTTTCTTCTTCTTATTGAAAGAAGCTTTGACGATTTTGGATACATGAGATTCTCATCTTCTAAGTGCAATTCATGTTTCCTTGTATAGCTTCAGAGCTATTCCTTGATTGTGAGAGAATTTCTGATCGAAGTACAACAGGGTTTCCCTCGAATCTAATTTTTTCTGTCCAGCTTGGCTCCAATGATGTTCACTGATTTCGAGAATCATAAAGTTGTATCTCTTCGTTCCTGTAACTGATTGACTAGCCCTCCTGGTCTTCAAGATTGTCCGAAAATTCAATATACCAATATTAATGGTGATTCTGGTTGTTGGAAAGAGCATCAGCCTGGTGACCTTCAAAGAATCTTTGCTGTAATTCTGAGGTGTCATAATTCTTCTTTGAACTCCGGGGATAGGGTCTAAAGGTCCGTTTGTTTAACCTGATCTGTGTATTTCAAAAAAATTTTTTTCTACGGGGTTTGATTGCTGATCACATGCCAAACCCTTCTCCTTTGTGTGTGCTTGCGACCGGCGGTAACCCTGGAAACGCTACGGGCGTAGTTAATGGCAGCTAGTATGAGTTTAATCTACTAATTTTCCTTACCTTTGTCTGTTTTCCCACAAACTTTTAAGCGTTGTTTACGGTCTACATTCAAGTGACCTACTGTCTCTTTGTTTCGCTTCGTTCTCGGCACCACGTTCTCAGTGCACAGCTATGAGGCATCTTACGCCTAAAACAGAATGACATAAGCTTTTTTAAAGCCACAACGCATCGTAAGTGCTCTTCGAGTTTACTTTATAACACACATGATCTTGCTAAACAGTTGTATTGCATAAATATTTGGCATGACCTGGATTCTTACACAATATTGCCGTACTGTGCGTTTCCCATGGTTACAACGTGGACGCGATTCTGTTATCAAAACAAATGATTAAAACTGCACCCACGGCACGGTACTGACAAAAAAATACTTGTTAACCCTTCCGTATCTCTGCACAAATATACTGCCATATATTCTCGTTGATATATATTTGACGACATCACATGGGGAGCATCTTATCTGTGAACCAGTTTTGTAAATTGCTAATCATCCCTGTAAGAATCCTATGTATCTGCTCTATTAAGTACATAAACATATTATCTTATTACTGCGCAAACTCTTTTTCTACCATCAAACCTCACTATTGTGGTGGACCAGACGATGTGTAGCGTGGTGTCGAGTTGAGGTTAACTATGAACACCGCTACCAAGAAACACGTGCCAAATAAATCAGAAGGCGTAGGTTGAACGTAACCAAAGAAACCCATAAAATCTCCGAGAAGCCAAATATCAGAAGGCAATTAATGGACCAAATCGAGATATATATTTGCTGGCGATCTCGTGGTATCAAAAGGATACCGAGATCGTGCCAGGATACAAGCTTGGTTACAGAACGTAACCGAATTCGCGCGAAGTTACAATCAAGTCTGTCTATATGAATGGAATATAGCTGTCATTAGCACAGTCAAACAAAAGCACATTAAAACAAGCACTGGTACAGTTGGTTATAATAATAATTGTTTTTATTAAACCAGTCGTGTTCTCGTGATAAATGTGAGTCACTACAGATGTTACGAACGTAAAAAGTATTGACGAAGTTAATAAAGACCAATAGTAATGTTGATATATATATAAGTAATTGTTACAAATATAATAGAAAATAGGAACTTTATTTAAATTCACCAAATTGATGCGTGTTAGGATTTGGTCTTGTGTTGAATATCCACAATTATAAATGCTTAGTAATTCCAATCAGGTTGATGAACTCTCCAGTAGTGTAATCCGATGCAAGGTATGATATATTCCCAATCACAGTCTATAAATGTAGATAGTATTCGATTTAGGTTTCAGTTAACTCAATCACAAACGAAAAGTAGAACGAGGGATATATGTGCAACGATGTATTTGTTAGCAGTCAACAGTATTTCATGCTATGTAAGTTACACAACCGAAAGTGTGTTCAAGGTCATTCACTTAAACAACACGTACAGTCATTTGATGATAAATGAATATACAGTGAAAAATTGACAAATTAAATACAAATAACATTAAAAACTATTTACGAAATAGGCTTGCCAGGCATATTTCCACACTATATTGATGATTTGTTTTTAACTCTTTCTCTCTACATATACTAATTTTTATTATTATCCTGTTTTATAAACATACTTATTCGGTTATTAACAAATTTTTTAATTTCCATCGCTCTTCTTCCAGACCAACTATATATTATTCTTAATACTGGAGAACCTATTTAAATGTAACAAACGTCATATAAACACTATTAAAATAGCATACAATTGTACTTCTGGGGAGACATGAAATGGTTTCTTCGCACCACCTACGTACCAATGAACTATTTGTGATTAATAATAACAATAAACGTTGTTCTTTATGTCTAGGATAATGGGCTTGCTGTAGTTATTCTCCTATTACGTCCCAGGTTTACGGTTCCGAAACTCAGCCTAAATGTTATTCTTTGGAAAACTCCAAAAAAGTGGGCATATTTCGACAGACATTTGCTGCTGTCAGGTCCTTCAGAAAGGCTAAGAATTTTTAGAATTATAGATTAATAGTATACACGAATCCCGACTCATTTATCCTGGTGAATAATCCAGAATACAATCTTTTGGTGTTATTACTGTAACTAAGTAGTTTTTTCGTCTGGGCTGTACAGCAAAGTTTGTGCTCATGGATATGATAGGCTCAACATTTCAAATAGAATAGCCGCTTCCAAGGAACAACGAGCGTAGTTCTACCACAATCGGTATGGCAACTCACCAGATAACATGAGAACAACCGGCCATGATGGAATAATGAGGCAGTCGTCAAAATACATTGTTAATTAAGAAAACCTAGCCTAAGGGAAGTGATCTAACGATTGTGGGATAAGGACAAATAATAATAGTCTCATCTTCAACCAGTAAAACACGAAATGAAGGGAGTGAAATGTAGTGACCATAAATTTAGCGAGAAAAGAGGGACTATTAATACATAGTGTGTAATAGAGGGATCTCCATTTACACATCCGCAAGAAATACTGCATCATTTCACCGACCTTTAGCTTCAGAAAACCACTTCTAATACAAACTAAAAGTAATAAAAACATGGCGAACAATCCTCAGATTCATTCAATTTATGTCCATTTTATGGCATCAAATGTTTTTTATATTAACTAGAGTAACCAAGTTTAGTTTTCTTAAACTGTTACTGACTTTTAAGTCAATGAACTTTCACAGTCATGTATTTAGTGACATCATGAGGTATTAGTGCTTAAAGTAGGCGAACAGCTAATCTATTACCATGACGGAAACGAATCATGGTTTCTGAGGCGTTGCTCTACTTGATTCATTAGAAAATAACAGAACCGTCAAAAATTTCAG